GGGAAAGAGCATCTACTTGACCTCAACTCTCATTTACTGATGTCCAAAGAGACTGATTTTCGGACCTTAGTGTCTAGGCAAAGTTGCAAATGAAATCATGTTGTTGTAACTGAGCATCTTTACAATTTTTTGCAGGTCTTTGACCCTTCGAGGTTTTCACCAGAGAACTCATCTGGTCGCCATCCCTATGCTTTCCTGCCTTTTGCAGCTGGGCCCAGGTGAAGTATCTCCAAATCCATTGATCGTGTTATCTCATTCGAGTTTCTTCCCCACATCCCAATGCATACTGCCGACACCTTTGGTGAAAGCCTGGCCATTTTCAAGTCAATGGGAGTTTGTAATTGGTTTCAAGTGGGAGGGAGGAGTCATGACTTTTTCTTTCTGATCATCCCTCGTAGAAACACCTCTTCGATGCAGCCTCTTTTATAAAGGGTTCTAATTCCAGCTCATCTGTCTTTTCAAGCATGCAAACTTTGAAAACTCTTGAATCCACACCCAAACTTCACACCTCAAGCACAAATCTAAATCCAGAGCATGTCAGAATGGTTGTCTCTGCACACCGTCAATAAGGCCCTTTACATATGCACTAAACTCATCTCCAAGACCCCGGCCCTTGCCTCTCTCTACTTTCGAGCCTATTTTAAATACTGACTTTTTCTGGTAGATGGATGGGATCTTACTGACTTATTTCATTAAAAATGCTTTTGTTTCTTCTCTGTCTCAGCCTGCCTACTTGGCTCTCTGTCCTGGCATGGTAAACTCCTCCTGTTGAACTAGCTTCTCTTGGAAAATGCCCAGTCCATTGTGGGCTCTGTTCCCTAACACCACCAATATATGACTAGCTCATGGGATGGTAAGTTAGGAGACCTGAGATCTTATTCCTGGCTCTGCCACTGATTGGCTGGCAGTGGCCAGCTAAACACATGTTGAGGATATCATCCATCAATGATTATGATTTGCTTAAAAACTCCCTGTAGGGTGCTGGGCAGACAAGAGTTTTTGGGTGAATATGATATATTTTATTAGACCAACTTAAATAGTTGGAAAAAAAATTCTTAGCAAGCTTTAGGGTAGCTGTAGGGTGCCAGGAGGCCTGAGACATGTAAATGCCATCATCCTGATTGGAAATCGATATGTTGTCGCACAGGATTTCACTTTGATCAAAGCAGAAAATGCCAAACCAACTCCACTGGGTAGTTTTCGTGACTCAAGAACAGGTGCCAGGCTAAAGCTCAGCCTAAATAAATTAGCTTCCAAGTTGATAAAAACCAGTCCAGTCTACAGTGGCTGAGAACAGACTCTCAGTGGTATAACTAGAAGCAACAATCAACAGCCTAAGGATATGTTTCTGGGATGCAACGGATGTTTTTTCCACCTCCCTTAATCTTTGTTAGCTCTCACCAGCAATTAGGGTTGCAGTTCTGGAGAGAGTCCTCAGAAGTGAATGTATTTGTCCTTTCTCTCTGTTTAGGAACTGCATCGGGCAGCAGTTTGCCATGAACGAGATGAAAGTGGCTCTCGCCCTGACCCTGCTCCGCTTTGAGCTTTCAGCTGATCCGAGCAAGCCCCCCATCAAACTACCTCTGCTCATCCTGCGGTCCAAGAATGGGATCCACCTGTACCTGAAGAAACTTAGCTGAGACACCAGCAGCCAGGGCAGGGGTGGGATATGTTACGGTGCTAATCCTAATGTTGGTTGATAAAAGGTGCCAAAATTTGAGCTGTGTAGGAACTGGAATTTCTGGGAAGTAGGGATTTATATGATTATAGGATCATAGGAAAGTAGAGGTATATGGGAGCTCAGAAAGCTATCTAGTCCAGCTCCCTGCTCAAGTCAGGATCATCCCTGACTAAACCAGCCCAGCCAAGTATCTGCCCAATGTGCTCTCGAAAATTTCCAAGGATGGAGTTTCCACAATTTCTCTAGGTGACCTGTGCCAACGCTTGACCGCCTTCAGAGTCAGAAAGCTCCTCTTAATCTTCAACCTAAATTTCCACAACTTGCAGCTTGAGGCCATTACTCCTAATCCTCTCCTCTGTGGCCACAGAGAAAAGCCCATCTCCATTGCCTCTCGAATCACCCTTCAGATATTTGAGGACTGTGATCAAATCCCCACTCTGTCTTCCCATCGTCAGCCTAAATAACCCTCTACTTCTTTTAGCCTTTCGTCATAAGTTTTGCTTCCCAGGCCCCTAATTTTTCTTGTTGTTCTGCACTGGACTCCTGCAATTTGAAATTTGTTTTCTGTTCCAATTTATAATGAAGATTTTTAGAAAAAAATGCAATTTTCTGCAAAATTTCATTTCAAAACAGCAGCTCCTTTTCTTTTTTAAAGTCAGAGTTGGAGCAATTTACTTTAAATGTCCCATTCCCTTAAGGCTAGAAAAATTGATCTGAAGAGGTGCTGCAGTAAATGTCTTCCTTCGGGGTGTGAAAGGAGCGCTGTGCACTTCCGTCTGGGTCGTGCCCACATTTCTTGCATGCAATGAATATAATAGAAAGATCTGCCTACTGGTATTACTGGCACTAGAACCATTTTACTGAGCATTGGTAAGCCATCAGTTTGAATATTGGATGCAGTCCTAGACACCAGTGTTCAAAAAAGATTAGCCTAAACTGAAAAAGGTACAAAGAAAGGCCACTAAGATGGTTAAAGGAATCAGTCTGTTTTGTTAAATGAAACAGGCCAAGCTCTATCTTCTTCCCTAAGAAAAGATTTTGATTCCTTTAACCTTTGGCACAAAGAAGGAAGACACCTCCTGCAACACCACTTCTCCTTCCATATTCACCCCATGAGTACACCTGGAAAGGATGATCATAATGAAACAAGCCAAGCACTCTTGACCTTCTTTTCTAAGAAAAGATCTTGATCATGCTTTACTACATGAAAAACAACATGGATACAAGATCAAAAGGCTAGAAACTGAGTACAGATCATTTTAGGTTGGAAATGAGAAAATTATGTGGAGTTATCGGTAAAGTGGAGTTTTGGAATGGTCTTCCAAGCAAACAGGCAGGGCAAAGAAATTAAATCACTTCAAGATGGAAGTGGATGACCTAGGGGAAGGGTTGGTGTGATAGGACAGGGGGTTCAACAATTCATGTGCTGAGTCATAAGTTGGCAGTCCCCAGGCTGGGGCATAAAGGTAGTGTGGAGCATGTCTGGTAACCCCATGCTTCAGGGCTTTTGCTCACTCACACTTGGTCTGTAACAGGAAGAAATTATTGCCCTCCACCCCATGTCATTGCAACTGGTTTTTGAAAGGTGGGGTGAGAGGGTAAAGCACTGGGACGTTGACCTCAGCTAAGGCTGGAAGTTTCTGACTGGGTTGCATTGCAGCTTCTTCCAGGCCTTGGAAAACCCAGTGGTTTCTGGCTCGAGGGTCTTGCCTGCCTGCTCAGGGTCACATTAATTATGCTAAATATGTGGTCAAGAGGGATTTTTTTTACCTGTGTCAGGCTGGTGCATACTAGTTGCCTTTCCCTGTAGCATGGGGCATGGTCTTCTTAGGATCCTCTGTACACATAGTACACAACTTTTTCCCTATTAGTGCAGTGGCAGGGTATTAAGTATAAATATTAAGTAGGCCTCTTTCCCCCAATTTTTTCCTATGACATGTTATGGGAGTGGGGGTTGGGTATCATACTTGAGAGTGGCGTGTGAGAGCTTGAACCTGGGCTATACTAGATGCTCGAGAAGGCTTCTTCCAAATCGATGCTTTTCTATGATGAACAACACCAGGACACAAATACAATCAAATACTGCACCTTTTGCTTGATCTCCATTCTTTAATCCTTCCCTACCTTCCACATCCACTGGGCAATACAAAGAGGCTCCTGTAAGGTTTACCTGTTGTCCTGGTATGCTCCGACTCAATTAACGAGAACCCAAAGACCTGTTCACATCCAAGAGTTATACTGGCGTGACCGTGTTGATTAGGGGTCTGCTATTTTTTAATGACCCAGTTTACTAGTAACACTTCCAGGGTGGACTCAGGTTTATGAGCATAAAGGTGCTCTCTCCTAGTGTAGATTTTGCTCCCTCCACACCGCAAGAGATACTGCGGCACATGCTACCTGCCTGTCAATCGAACTGTGTGCAGACTAGGAGGGGTGATACCACCTTATCAGCCCACTCTGGGCAAAGTAAAGAAACGTCCTAATGGAGACAAGCCCCAAGTCACTGTGGAGCAGAAATGTGTGTGGCAGCACCTGAATTTCTAATTCTCAGCAAACAATATGATCCTTGAGAGAGATCGCTCTTCTTTTCTCATGAAAAAATAAAGCACTGGACCAGGTTACCCAGAGCGGTGGTGGCATCTCCATCCTTGAAGGTTTTTAAGACCCGGGTAGACAAAGCCTTGACTGGGATGATGTAGCTGGGGCTGGTCCTGCTTGGAGCAGGGGTTGGACTAGACGTGACTCCTGAGGTCCCTTTAACCCTCATCATCTGTGATCTTTGAACTAACTTTCAGTGGTTAAAACCTCTCATTGGCTTGCTTTTATCTGAGTTGCCTTGAGATTTCACAGCGATGCACACATTAAACAGTGGCTATTAACGCTTTCTCAATACACGTTTATCAGGACAATGTGGTAGGATGCAGCTGCCACCTCGTGGGCAGAAATGGCATAAGAGGAACAAAACACAGAAACCACAAACAAGCAGTAAAGCTTCCTTCTGGTTCAGCCTTCAGTCTGACCCAGGAGATATATACACACACACACACACACACACACACACACACACACACACACACACACAAATATACACACACTATACACATGCATACACACAGACACATACACACACTATATGTATACACACACACACACAATATATGTTATATATATATATATACACACACACACACATACATACACACACACACACACACACACACTTCTAGGGTTGCACAAATTCACCCAAAATCATGAGATTATCTCTGAAAAAAAAGGCATGCTATTTAAGCCATTTTCCTCTGGGGACTATATTGTCATTTCTGAACATCTCCAGTGGGCACATGAGCGACAAGCATTGCCAGCGCTCACAGCTTTGTCCAAGTAGTTGGATTTTGGCCTCTGCTGCAGAAACACACTGGTTGCACACTGGATGGAACAGTCTGTTTTTAGTTCTAGCTAAAAACCTTAACTCAGGTGTGGTAACATTAACTTAGATGAACATTAACTCAAGTGTGGAAATGATGGACCCTGAAGTGTTGGATGCACCGTCAAGATGCCCAAGAAGGCCAGATGTTGTTTTGTGACTCTGAATAAGAGATGTACACTTAACTATACAGACTACAGGACTATAAAAGAATATCTTTGGTTTACTTTTGCCTCATTTTTTTAAAATATACTATATAATCTAGCAAAGTAATGCTCATTCCAATACAGTTGTATTCATTTTTGCTTTCATCCTAAACTGAATAATATAGCCCTAGGCTCCTAATGTGAAAGTGCTCCTAGGGTGAAAGTGCTAGACTTTAGGAAAGCTGATTTCAATGAACTCAGGCAATTAGTCAAGGACGCACTGCAGAGTAGGAGTTTTGAAGTGATGGGAGCCCAAGAAGGGTGGCTGTGCCTTAAGGAAATGATCCTTCGGGCACAAAGCAAGACGATCCCCGAGTGAGGCAAAAGGGGGAAAGGGGCCAGGAGGCTTCCCTGGCTGACCAGAGAAATCCTGGGCAGCCTAAGGGACAAAAGGGGAGCACATAAAAAGTGGAAACAGGGAGAGATCACCAAAGATGAATATACCTCCTCTGCTCATGCTTGTAGGGAGGCAGTTAGACGGGCCAAAGCTACCATGGAGCTGAGGATGGCAACCCAAGTAAAAGACAACAAGAAATTGTTTTTTAGATATATTGGGAGTAAAAGGAAGGCCCAGGGAGGAATAGGACCCCTGCTAAATGGGCAGAAACAATTGGTGACAGACAGAGGGGACAAGGCTGAACTCCTCAATGAGTTCTTTGCCTCAGTGTTCCTAAGCGAGGGGCACGACAAGTCTCTCACTGGGGTTGTAGAGAGGCAGCAGCAAGGCGCCAGAGTACCATGCGTAGACCCTGAGATGGTGCAGAGTCTCTTCGAAGAACTGGATGCCTTTAAGTCGGCAGGCCCGGATGAGCTCCATCCAAGGGTGCTGAAGGCACTGGCCAACATCATTGCAGAGCCACTGGC